AAGAGAAAAAAAAATCATTAATATGAGAAATTTTAAATCCTTAATTTAATAAATTAATAATTTTTTATATATGAAAAAACTAATAATCCGGGGATTTTTTAAAAAGACAATCCATTTATTTTTATGCAAGTATGGTAAAAAAAAATTTACAACAAAAGTATAAATATTTTTCTCATATATAAAATTAACATTTTTATGGTCCCTAATTTTCATTGAATTTAAAAATACTATTTAAAAAGGCTATTTGCCCCTTATTAATTAATTAATAACTATTTTGCCACTTACTCAGAACTATCTATCAATCTGTCCCTCTTTAATCGATTAAATTGAAGATTTAATCGATTAAATGGTCAAAACTAAAAAAATGGTTAACTTGAAGATTTAATCGATTAAATCTCCCTCTTAATTTATTTAATCGATTAAAACTTATATTTAATCGATTAAATATCTCAAATGAGCGTGAAAACATTGATACCAACTCGTAAAATAGCAACTCTTAATAAAACGCAATCAGCTCTTATTAAATACAAAACACAATCAACTCCTATTATTAAATACAAAACGCAATCACCTCCTATTATTAAATACAAAACACAATTGATTTGTTAGGTGCTGATTGCGTTTTGTACTGATTGCGTTTTATTAAGAGTTGCTATTTTACGAGTTGGTATCAATGCTTTCACGCTCATTTGAGATATTTAATCGATTAAATATAATTTTTAATCGATTAAATAAATTAAGAGAGTGATTTAATCGATTAACTTGAAGATTTAATCGATTAAATCTTCAAGTCAACTATTTTTTTTTCATTTTTGACCATTTAATCGATTAAATCTTCAATTTAATCGATTAAAGAGGGGCAGATTGATAGATAGTTCTGAATAAGGAATAAAATGATTATTAATTAATTAATGAAGGGTAAAAGGGTCAAAAATCTATTTAAAATACTATCATCACAATTTTGTATTCTTTTAACTTGTTTTCTTCTTCTTTTTTAGTTTTTTTTTTTTTTTTGTAAATTCTTTTTTAGTTTTTTAACACTAATCATTATTATTTATATTTAAAGGATATATAATTGTATATAACCATATAATAAATAAAATTATAATTTATCATTGCAAATTTACATTCATATAAAATTCCATATCGATTACGTGTGCCATTGATAGTTTTCTATATGACAAAATTGAAGGGGGAAAAAAGAACTTTGCCGCTTCCTGTATATGTCCTACATATGAAGAAATATACCACTATCCCAATTACGAATATAAAAATTGGGTGCCAACTTCTCCTCTTAAAGGAAAATCACCAAAAATAATTATATCTTATTGATAAGATATAATTATAATATTAAAATTATTTTTTCTTAAAAGAGAAACAAAATAATTTTTAAAATTAAAATTATATCTTATCAATAAAATTAAACATAATTATTTTTTATTGTTGAAAAAAATCTATTTTCCTTTAAAAAAGAAGTACATTTCCCATGAGCGATAGTATTTTCTGAATTTTGTGCCCAACAGTATTCTGTCTCTCTCTCTACTCTCAAATATTGATTTTTTTTTTTTTGGAAATTAAAATATAGATCTCTTTGTTGCCAATGGAATCAACTAGACAGTAGTAGGTGATCCAGATCACATAGTGTAAGCTAATAAATTTAAAGATGATGATATACTTGACACTTGTAAAAAAAGGGAGAGTCGTGTTCGACACGTTCCGACACGGCGACACGCTTCGACACGGTGTTGGACACGCGATCAACTTTTTTCGACACATTGACTATTTTGACACGTGAATTTGACCGTGTCGGATATGGTCAAATGGCATTTTCGTAATTTTTTTGATTTTTTTTTAAAAATTAAAATATATTAATAAAGCTTCTATTTGATCATATCAATTTTATTTTTTTTGTGTTTTTTCCCCTTAAGTAGATAAGAGATCATCTCAGCATCATTGTTGTCAATTCCTATCACGCTCTTGTTGTATCTCGTTTTCTCTGATCTCTTTAATATGATTTGATCTCTCTATCTAATATTATATCTCTCTCATCCCAGTTCTTATTTTTTTTAAAGCTTCCATCTTTATAAGGTGTTGACGTGTATTGTTAATTTAGTTTCATTTTTTTGTTAAATTATTAAATATTAAATGAAATATACACCATATAAATTAAAAATATTATTTAATATTAAAACGTGTTCCAATGTGTCGAAATCCATAATTTTTTAAGATTGACGTGTTGGAGTGTCGTGTCGTGTCACGTGTCGTATCGGTGCTACATAGCTTAGTGTAGCTTGACAAAACTTTAAAAAAATCACGTACTTGTCTGACACATAACTTGAGAATTTTCCCTCCTCGTATTAAATAAATTCAATTAGCTTTCGGAAAATAAATAATACCTGAGAGGCATGCTTCGCTTGCATCAAGCGCAAACAAACATGATAATTGTTCAAATGAATAGTCATTAATAGAAAAAAAAAAAGACTGCAAGTTTACCACACAAAAACAAAAAACAAAAAACAAAATAAAAACAAAGATTGCAACGGAAATATTAAAAACCAATGCATGTCACATTTCTATTTTAAATCTACATTTATTATTTCAAACACTCCAACGAACAAAAAAGCCGAGCATAAATTATTGGTTACAAATGCTTTTTTCTTCGCCCATTTTATTAGGTTATTTCAAGAATTGGTTCATATGAGAAGCGTTTGAATTTAGATAATTGTATGTAGATCGATTCATATTTCGCGTTTCATCAATAGTGATCAGTTATGGTCACTTTTCCTTACCACCAATTTCATCTCCACCCATCCTATAGAAAATCTTTCCTTAATTACTGATGTCTAACTCCTTAAATTGTCAGACATAGTTATGTTCGTGAGATTAATAAATGGGATTAATTACTCTTATATTGTAGACAGAAGAAATCTTTCTATCAAATGATAGTAGCTCAATTGAGGTATGAGAATTGAGCAGGTAAGGATGAGAGCACCTGTTCGATCCTACCCAGTATCATATTTGGGAGAAATTTAAAATCTTAATCTTGTATTCACCCTGAATCAAACTAGTTGCGAAACGATGAGAATATTTAAAAAAAAAACTCTCAAACAACAACTAAATTCAATATTTCAATATTTAATCTTCGATTTCTCTCTCCTCCTTTATTTGAATAAAATATTTCCGTTAATTGTTGCATAAGAGATTTTTTCATCATGCAACATAAGAGTAATAAAACCCTTAATAAATAGGGGTTAAAATATATTTTGAACATGTTATTGTTGATCAAGGTTTTTTTCTTTTGGAATATTGTTAAAAAGGAGGAAAAGTTACTCCAATTCAAGTAATTGATAATGAGTTAATATATTCATACTATTACTTTTTTTCTACTACCACTTTTCTTATCATACCATAGGATTCAAAATTATTTTTCTTCTATCTTTTTATTCAACTTTTCTTCTAATTCAATGGTGATTAGAGTAATAATGTAGTGGTAGTAAAAAAAATTTGTAACATGAATATCATACCTCGTTGATAATATGCTCTAGTGTGGTTGATAAGAAAAACGAGAGTTTCTTTGTTCAAGGCAATGAGTCCTCTTGAGAACATAATCAAATATATAAAAGAAAGAATCAAATGCTTTAATTATTCTTGTCTAATTTCATTATATTCTCATAGCTAGAATTTTATATATATATATATATGAAAAAAATATTTTTACAACCACTTTAATTAAGGTTATCTACAGCTACCCCAAAAATTATGTCGTTTTGATTAATGAAAGATATTTCTGTATATAAAGTGGTTGTAGAAATTTTTAATATATATATATATATATATATATATATATATATATACTTTTTATGTCACATGTCAGTGTGTGAATGATGCAAAGTCACATTTGGATGAGGTGCGACTGGTCGCGCCTGTGTGGGGCTCCACTTGTGGCGCCCACCCAGGAACACAACTTAGTACAATAGATTCATATTGATCGAAAATAATTATATTTTAATAATTTTTTGTTAAGATAATAGTATAATACTTTTTTTTGCCTAGTCCAATCACCTCCACCAAATGTACAACTAACCAATAGCCACACAACCCAACGTTAATTGGAGCTTTATAATTTGAGTATTTACAAATGAAGCCCACTTATGAGAAACCCAAATAAAGAGGGAAAAACATAAAAAAAAAATATTTGTACTTTTAAAGTATAATTATTTTAGTTCAAATTATTATTATTTATTTAATATTTAAATTATAAAAATAATCTCACATTTTCTTCCACTATAATTTCTATTTTGTAACTATTTCTTTCATCATAAAATACAATAATTTTGACTAAAATAACACAATTTTATGTTTTTTAAATTAATAAACATTAATCCCAAAAAATAATAAAATAATATTTAGGGTGCTCGTGGATTATAAAAAACCATTTATTAAAAAAATAATTAAACTATTCAACATGATTTTTTAATATCATTCTATATGTGATTTAAAATGTAAAGTTGACTTAATCTAATTTAATCGAAATTGGTTTGTATTGGATTAGTTTTTAATTTTTAAGAACATTTTAACATATATAAATTTATCAAATTCATCCAAATATATTCAATAAAAGTTCAAATAAATTCATCAAACTATAAATTAAAATTCTAAAAATATAGTATGAAAATAAAAAAAATTCATTTTGATAGATATATAAAACTTAAGAAAGAAATTACCACACATTACCTTTTCTTAGAATAGATGTTTTTCCCATAAATAATATATGCAAACTATAAACCTATTCATCATTAGTTAATGTAAAAATAATGTAAAGAAAAGTTTGGCGTGATTGAAGACTTTGTTCCCGCAGAGTTTCTTCTGGATGTGTCGGCATTAAAGCAATATTAACTGGAATCATTGATGGCAAAAGACAACAAGAGGTGAAATAAAATACAATAAAAGGCAAACACCAACTACTGTGGTCCCTGTTAAGACTAAAGAGAAAAAAACGAATGGGAATAACCCAATACGTGAGGCCAAGACAAATTCTTCAATTAAAGAAAAAAGAATCAAAGGGGGCATTCATTTATCTTCTTGTCCTCATCGAAAACCATCAGAAACAGGTACAGGTACAGGTGCATCCCCTAACCTTAACATTTACTTCTCTTGACCCCGTTTTCTGTCCTCACAAGTCACCACTACTAACCCCTCGTTATTTTCGTTTCGTTTCGTTTCTCCACTTAATTCAACCCTTCCTCTCCCAATGGCTAAAGATTCTTAATTTTTTATCGCACAAGAGAGAAAAGGCAAAAGGGTATCCGATTCTGGGTTTAATAATACGATCTGATCAGAGGTTAAGGATAGATGAAGCGTTCACTCTCCGGCGGCGGCGACGGTGCTCCGGCCACCGTGGAGGACAGGAAGATGAAAAAGGCAAAGCTGGTAGAGAACAACAACGAAGGAAGAAGTGACGGTGGCGTCGTTTATCTGGATGAGAACATGCTATTCGAGGTGCTGAAGCACGTGGACGCGAGGTCGCTAGCTATGGCGGGTTGTGTGAGCAAGCAGTGGCACAAGACGGCGCAGGATGAGAGACTTTGGGAGTTGATCTGCACGAAGCAGTGGGCAAATACAGGCTGCGGGGAGCAACAGCTCCGATCCGTGGTCCTTGCGCTTGGTGGGTTCCGTCGTCTTCACTCTCTGTACCTTTGGCCTCTCTCTAAGCCCCACGCATCTTCCTCGTCCTCTTCTTGGGCTTCGATCCCTCACATGATTCGGTCGAAGCCTCGTTTAGGGAAAGACGAGGTTCACCTCTCTCTGTCTCTCCTCTCTATTCGATACTACGAGAAAATGAATTTCAATAACAGAAACAGATGAGTAAAATTTCCCTTCTGTTGTCCTCTATCTGCCTTTGACTTGGCGTTTGTGTTTGTGTTTTTTTTTTTTTTTTAATTTTATTTTCGTGTAATTTTGGTTTTCAGTTACCAGATCTGCATTTTTATTTACTATTAAAGGCGATTAAGCTAAGCTGGTAGCCTAGTTGTGTAAATTGGGAATGGATGTATTATTACGCCTATGAAAAATCTTAGGTTGATTTATGATATATGATATGATATGTCTGTGTCTATGTTGGGATTGAATTGCTTATTTTGTGTGGTTTGCAAAATAGTTTAGCGTTTGGGATATGGGGAAAGTCAAGTCAGGAGACGGAAAAAAAGAGGATATTATTCTCTGCAGATTCATAGGAATTGGGTAGTGGGTATGGGGAAGAGAATTGCCGAAATTGGATAAAGGGTGTATTTGAATGCGCACAAGGTGACAGAAGCAAATGCCTTAGTTGTAATAAATGTCTGGTACTGCTTATGCTTTCTGGCTCTTACTTCGGCCTAATCGGTAAAAGACACACAGATCAGTTAGGGCATCGTTTGGATTCTGCAAAAGCCAAATTTTTCTCTAGGGACAAAGATGTGTTTGTCGCATTTGTGCTCCCTATTCGTTGTTTTATATACTGAACGTTGTTTGGGCTCTGGACTTGTGAACAGAATTGGAACTTTTGGACTGATACCAACAATGCTATTTTTTTTTCCCGCCTTATAATCTTAATTATAAGGGTGTGGTGTTTTTAATGTTATAGAAGATAATTTTATCTCTTATTATTTTTCACACATATATAAAAATATGTAGAGTTCATGTGGGGTTATGTGAAGATAAGGGAGAAAAAAAATACTCCATACACTTTTAAGTTTGTATGGGAGAAAAAATTATCTCCTGTAATATGAGAAATATTAATCCTTAATTTATAATAACTCTTTTTTTTTTTGGACAATATAATAATAACTCTTTCTGATTAGCCTATTTTGTCACTAATAAATCTTAGGCCATTACAATGAGTGGAAATGCGAAGTGGTTTACAAAGTTTGTTCATATAATAAGTTCTTAATGCTAGGTACTAGGCAATTCCATTACCAAAAATTGATAATAATGCAGGGAACTGCAAAGATATTTGTTGGAATTTTGCCCTTTTGGGTTTCTTGAAATAAGAATATCAAAATGCATTGCAAGCTATTAGATGGTGATATCTTCCGCTTATAGGAAATCTGAAATTATGTATGGTTCATATGGTTTTACTTCATGGCATATCAACATCCGTATTTGCCAACTACGTTTTAACTCTTATAATAAAAAAAAATGTTATACAAGTATTATATGAAAATTTGACTTTTTTAAATTGGCAGTATAAAACTGTAAACTTTAAAATCGTTTATATTTAATTCCTAAATTATGATCATTTTACAAATAGATTAATTTATCAATGGACTTATGACGTGATATAATCACATCATTTTTTTGTATGATATTTGCACCCTTTATTAAATTATTTATTAGAATTCTTATTTCATATGTATTTTAATCCATAATAGTATAAGTATAAAAAAAAATCCATAATAGTATATATTATATAATGTACAATAATAAAATAGATTATAATTTAAATAATTAAAGTATTAAATTAATATTTATTTGACTATTACTATCATACTTAAAGCATGACAAAAACCTTGCTTTGGGTTATTCCCCAATATAGCATGGGCCAAATCACACATGGTTGAAGGTTGAAAATTATGGACCTCAAGACTGTTGCAAGGTAGAATAGGCTTCTTCTCGAAGTGCTTATGTGGTAGTTTTGGTTCAATGGAAGTGATTGAGATAAGTAGCAAAGACACTCCGACACAAGGTTATTGAGAGATATCTGTACATGATATTGTACCCTTTGTATTTATAGTGTGCTCTGTGTTGTCCTTTGTAGGCGGCATCTCTTCTTATTCACAGGGTGACTACTCTTCTATCACAGTTGATGTCCTTCAAACTATTTCTTAATGAAAAGTCTAGATGCTGGTCTGTCTTTTTAGAGTAGTGAGAAGTTGAAGCTGTGGCATCTACGCATACTTAATTCCTATTTTTATATCCCTTGTCTCCATTTGATGGTTGTGATCCATCTTAACTTGGACGTTTAAACATGGTTAACATTATAAGAGCGCGACAAACTTGCCTTGGCTGTCATACAAGGTTGACCTAACGAATTACAAAGAAACCCATCTAAACTTAATTAATTGACAACTCCAAGTATCAAACAGCCCGCTCACATTTTAACGTGGGCCTGAAACCCACGTCAAAGTAATGAATGACTTTTACAATCATTTTGAATTTGTAAACAAAAAATGAATCATTTTTCGGGTATCGAACTTTTTAGCTTGCGCCGCGAACAAGGTCTACATACCCATGTGGGAAACTTGAATTGGTATTGAAGATTTTAGGACTGAATGAAGTGTAAGAAATGTTTTTTTTTTTTTTAACACCTTCCATAATTAATTTATCGAATACTTCACATCTTTTATTTACCACCTTAAAAATAATTTACGCAATAAAAAAAAAATAAAAGTAATCTAAGGATTAATTCTTTCACATAATAATTTATAGTCATAAATAACTGCAGCTTACAAAAATATCTCATATAGGTTGCCAAAAAATTACAATTAAAATTAGTGACTCGCAGGCCAAAATCATCAGCACCGTATAAAATAAGGAATTTTCATACTTCTACATCAATATTTACACTCAAAAGGATGATAGGAGTATAAATCCTATCAATATTTACACTCAAAAGGATGATAGGAGTATAAATCCTAAAAAATGTGCCCACAACTACATATCTACGCAAACATGTAGAGGTGCAGAGATGTCTCGGTATGATCTTCATAGATTTAAATCAGCATCTTTCGTCCTGCTCCACGTAAGTACACCCAATCCATGTGTCTTAATATGGAAATGTTAGATAACAAATAAAATATACAAGTGAGAAATATTCTCAATTTTCGAGCTATAACATTTTCAGTCGCATTTATGCAGAAAATACCTTCTCATGCACAAAATAAATAATTAATAAATTAGACTTAATCAATTAAAGTATATTTTATTTATGCTTGATGCCTTAATTGGATTTAACTATGCCCAACCTTAGAGGGCTCTGACCGTGAGAAATATGCATATGGTTGAGCTCAAACCAAAGTAAGGTGTCCTTTACTATAAAGTCCATTAACTATTACTAATTAGATCAGTGTCACAACAAAAATATTGTATGGTTTGCTGCTATTATTATTTTATGCTTTTTACACAATCAAAGTATATTTTCCAATTATAATACTGGCATAAATTTTCCCAGCATGATATATCAAAAGCTTCTCTTCCAAGTATAAAAAAAAAATATTACTATGGCTCAGTCACTTTTCTTGTACCAGGTTCATATGCATATGTTATACCAATAAATATTCAACTTTACATCGACCACAATTTCTAATTTTTGCTTTAAAAATTTCAAGAAAATGCAAGAGATGAGATAAAGGTTAGCCCACAAGTTTAGCATGTTCCATTACTACTTGAAATCTTATATGGAAATTATTATTTTGCTATAAAAAAAATCAAATGGCAGTAACCATATTGCAAGATTAGTATTTTTTTTTACAGGGGTCACATGAAAATGCTATGAGTAAAAAAATGGTGTCATGAAATGTTGTGTAGAGATTATATATATATATATATATATATATATATATATATATATATATATATATATATATATATATATATATATATATATATATATATATCATACACTCTTGATTAAAGTATGAACGGTCATACTTAGTGTAGTTTGTAAACAAAATTTTTGTAAATATAACTTTTACACACACACATATATATAGGGTAAGATTTTTTGACACTGGTGTCAAATTTAAAGTTTAACACCTCATGTGAGGATCGTTAGATAAAAAAGATCAATGGTGTCACAGGCTTACAAATCAGAGTCGTTGATTTTTTTTTTTATCTAACTAATCTCAGATGATGTGTCAAACTTTAAATTTGATACTGGTGTCAAAAGATCATATCCCTTTTTAACTAAGTCTGACCAGGAAGACATAAAAATTGCATTTTCTTTCTCCACCACGTCAGCCGACAATGTCTGTGGAGTGAGAAAAAAAAGGACAGAAAAAAAAAGAACTGTTTTATTACTATAACTATGTCTTACTGGTCAGACTTAGTTAAAAAGAATAGTTGTAGATAATATTATTGAAAGTGGTTGTAGAAATATTTATTTCATATATATATAAGATCTATTTATCTAATGCAATATGAGATAGTTATTTCATGCAACAGAGACAAAACAGTGGGATCCATTATTTATTTTTTAAATTGTGGATCCTACTATTTTGTCTCTGCTACATGAGATAATTATCTCATGCAACATGAGATAAATAGATCCTATATATATATATATATATATATATATATATATATATATATATATATGATCGAAGATCCAAATTAAGAAGGAAATCAATATTGGAACCATCTCAAAAAATTTCTCCTTGATAATCTGTAAAAGAATTAATTCGAAATCATTATTTCTTATGATATTATCTTAATTAGCTAGCATAAATCACTGTTGAGGAAAAAGAAAAGGAATGATAGAGGAAAAAGTTTTTTTAAAAAATCTAAAACAATAAAACAAAGAGAATGAGATGATAATGTTTGACGAATGAATTGTATGAATTTTTGGTAATGGGATATACAAAAAAATGGGATATACAAAACGAAAGAGTAATAAGTAAATGAACAATGGAAGTTGGTTCACAACCAACAACGGATATGAAGTATCATTTAGATACAGCTATGAAGCATCTACACTTCAAAAATTCTGACGTGTCGTGTCCGACACTCTGACACTTTAACACACATTGTAGAAACTCAAAAAGTATGACCATTTATAAATTTTTTTACAAAATACACTAAGTATGACCAGTCATACACTGTTGATAGAAGTATGACCGGTCATACTTAATGTAATTTGTAAGAGTTTGTAAACAAAAAGTTTATAAATATAACCTTCCCTTATATATAATGTAATTTGTAAGAGTTTGTAAACAAAAAATTTATAAATATAACTTTCCCTTATATATATATATATAATTTAAAGAGACCCAACTATCATTCAAAGTCATATTTAGAGTTAATTCTGTTTAGTATTCTAAGCTCTTAATATCCTTCGAATTCACTACGTAAATAACATGGTGTTTGTGTTATAGCTAACAAATATCCTTCGTTTACAAAAAGAATCACTCTTAACTCTTGTTTCAGTTTTAGCTAAAAGTAGAAGCAGAAACCGGCAGTGTTAACAACAAATATATAATGGAACAATAAAATAAAGGAAAGATGAAATTATTGTTTATTAAAGTAGTGTTACGCCTTACGCTTGTCCAACGTGTTAGAGCCACGAGTCTTCTGCTGTGACGTCTGAACTGCGCATCCGATTGCATGTAGTGGTGCAGCATGCTTTCTAACAATGGATTGATGAGTTTCTTCTTGAGTCATCATAGCGTAGACACGATTGATATTTGGCAATGGTGCAGTGTTTAATATCTGCTTTTGAAGATGTCCATACATATGGAGTCATCCAGTCTCCTGAGGAACTGCTACACATAATCCTTTTCCTTTTGTTCAGTAGCTCGCTTGGTAAAAGGACAACCATCAT